TATATATATATATATATATATATATATATATATATATATATATATATCTATGTCTATCTATCTATCTCAGACTGTTCGTATCTTTTTGTTAGCTATCTAACATAAGCTTACTAGTTTAGAAATGACGCTTTTACTCCAGGTATTTATGAGGTGAGGTTTGAAGGACGCTTCGTGCGTTATCGTAATATTTTCGCGACACCAACAATTAATTATTTCAACAGGGTTTTAGAATTTCCATGCTTTTGAAAAAGGCCTCAAATCACCTTCAATCTCATTTTATTTACTTTTACTAAGTATCGATTTATCGCCAATTATCCCGTATTCAACTATTTCCTTTTGTTATTACTGTTTGATATGATAGCTTGAGTGTGTTAAGAACAATCTATCCATGCATCCATCAATTTGAGTATTAAATAGATATATGTGTGTGTGTATATCTGAGTTGTTAGTTATTGATTAACACGTCCATTTGAATATATGTCGGTCACGACGCCTTTTACCCCCACTCGTCACATGCAATTTTTCAAGGTTTAATTGTATTTCCCTGTTCTATTTTTCTTTTTTCTCTATAAATTTCGTATCGTAACTTAAAAAAACATAGTCTTCTTATATCTATCTATCTACCTATGTATCTCTTTCCATATATATATATATATATATATATATATATATATATATATATATATATATATATATGTATATATATATATTAATGCATTTATTATTACATAATAATATACATGTTTTGTCTATTTATTTTAAGTAAATTCCTTTCATATTGTGGAATAATCTTTTTAGCATTGTGACGTCCCTACAGCCTTCGCTCGCTCCTCGCTGCTTCGTTCGGGTGTCGCCGCTCCAAACGTGACTTCCGCCTGTCTGCGTCAGTCGTGTTGTCCCGTCCTGTGACGACCAACTGGCTTGGTATTGGTCGCGGCACCCAAATGTGACGTTCTAACCATTTGGTGATTCGGATGGGAATCTGGTTAGATTCTATATCAGCCTCGTCGTTCTCAACTCGCTTCCAACGTCTGGTTACCGAAGTAACTGCGTTGATCTCCAGTCCGCCTACCCACGTTGTGAATTGATCTTAGGCAGACGAAATCAATCAGTCGTTGGGGCCGTAATGCAAGTTGAGTTCAAATGAGGGTGGTATCGCACAAATATGTGTAAAAGAAAAGAAAATAATAACTCAAAAGTTCAAGGTAACAAAAAAAAATATAACAATACTTTATATCTAGTTGCTGGATACCTAGGACTGCGTATATCTCCCGACCCGCTATATGGATTCGTGACACGTTATTTTTGTTAGGTGAGTTTTAACATCTTAAGTTGTCTGTTCTTTAAGGAACTGGTTCTTGATGTGTCTTCAGGCGATAGTCGTAAAACTTGTGTTGGTGGTATGAATCTAAGTCGCTCTTCAAAAATAAATTGTTCTTGGATTGAAGAGGAGTTCGGAAGTTGCGCGAATCTTAGTCAGCTAATGCGAGGTGGGACCCACTTCAACTGCGAACTAGTAGCTGAACCGAACTGGACTGAACTGGGAAACTGATTTTCGCTTGCTGCGACTTTGCTTATATGGACGCCGACCAAAACCGGGGTGGGCTTTGTTGGTGTTTGAGGTTCCTTGATAATTCCAAATCCACAATCTCCTTCTTTTGTTTTCGGTCAGGAAAAATTTATTATTTCCATTTTTGGAAGTCTTCTCTTACCCCTACCTTCAGAGGGCGTCAACGATTTTCCTACTTCTTCGCAGTAACATCTTATACCTATCCTCTTTAAGGAGTAATAGCAGGCCTCCCGCCTTCATCACATGATCACCTCCGCCTGGCTCTCGTTAACATTCATCCAATGGCCGATCAACAGTGTGGGCGTGACCAGACTAGCCTTGTTTCTTAAAAAATATATCTTGCTCAAAGAAAAAAGAAATATCTCCTCTTTTTTCTTTTTTTTTCTATTTCCTTTCTTTCTTTTCTTTTCTATTCTCTCTTCTTCTCTGGCCGCCAACAGAACAATGCGACCCGTAGTGTGATAACCTCTACTTTCATCTAGACTTCGTCAAAAAACACCGCCAACTTTTCCGATAAAATAGTTTCGCTATTATCACCAGATTCTAACACAACCCAGACCTTGTCTAACAATATCTTTCCCTCGACAAAGACTTAACCTATTTTCTTTGTCTTTTTTTCAGCTCGTGGGTGGTCAGGGCATTCCCGTGACACAGTTAAATGTTTATCTATTCTGTCCCGGAGTTTAGCTCGCCGATCTGGAATTTGTCAATTAGATTTTCGCCAGCACCAAGTGGCTGTTTGTTATCTATTCCCGATAATATAAGTCCGCCACCACGACACAGTTAATTTTTATCTATTTAGGATTTTCGACAATGGCAATGAAACCTTTCACCATTTGTCACTATCAAAATTTCATTTCTTTCCCTTCTTTTCTTCCTTTTCTTTGCTTCCCTAAATAGTGTCACAGCATTATTACTGAAACACGAAAG